GAGTGCTGCTTCAAATTGTGGCGCATCATCCGAGTAAGCGTTGGTGACCTTTCTCTTACCGATATAGTGCTTCATCGCCTGCACCACTTCGTCACTATTGCTTGCTTTCAAAGGATAGCCCCATATCACACCAGTGAACCGATCTCGAATCACCAATACATCCTTATCCGGCATGATCCCATCTCTCGCCATCTTCTGAGTGTTCATGAGATCGAAAGTGATGAGGTCACCGAATGCCTTCAATTTCCGTTTGAAAGCTCCCTTGCTAGTCTTGTAGTGCTTCATCTTTGCTCTCACACATGATTTGCAGTATGGATTCTTGTATCGGTGCGTCATCAGGTGCAATATGGATTTCGCCTCGTTCTTCAGCGCTCCTGGTTTTGATAGTCTGGCTTCCCCGTCAATCACATCGACTTCCAATAGCCCCTCTTCGTCTTCACCAATGTCACTCTCCTCTCGTTCAGAATCCGCATCACCTCCATGTTCGTCGTCTTCGGCTTCTTCAGGTTGACCTTCGTGACCACGATCGATTCTCGGATCTCCTCCGTCATATTCCTCTTCAGGAGAATATCCGTCGTCACCGTGTTCCTCTGGTTCTCCTTCGACGCCTGCAACAGCTGGATTGATATTAGATTCACCATCCTGACCTCTCTGGTTATCTTTCTTCTTTCTCCTCCGTCTCCGTGGTTTCTTGGGCGGAGGTTCCTCTTGTTGTGTCTCCTGACCTGCTGTGGCCTCGTCTTCATGCCCCACACCTGACAGTATGCGATGAAGTATCGTAGCCAAGCCGTCTGGTCTTGGTAAACATCTCCCGTCATCATCATTCACCTTGATGTAGGGTATGTTGTCATGCACCGATAGCGGAATCTTGTTCGCGTTCTGGTCGATGAGGTATGGCAATTGATTTGCCGGCCATACGAATGAGTACCCTTGTTCCATGCACCGTTTCCCGATGGAAAAGACTGATGGTGTGCTCTCCAACACGAGTGCCTCGGACATCATGGGTAGTTCGTCCACATTGATGTCCACCATCTCTGATGTACTAGTTACACCATTCGCTGTCATGAAGCTCACGGATTTGGGTCCTTCCTTGGTGGTAAGGCCCATGGCATTGACTTTCTCTCTTTGAGATCAAGTCGTGTCCACATCCCGTGTCCATGATGAAGCGTATCGGTGGTCCATCATACCTCTCCACAGCCATGAACATCGTGTCTCCTGGTATCGTGTAGTTGACAGAATCCTTCCTTACTACCTCGCTGGTGTTGAAGTCAGACAGGTCGACGTTCACCTCGATTCCTTCATCTTGAGTGATTTGTATCCATGCCTTGGCAATGTGTTCAGCAGAGTATAGCTCCATCATCTTACCTTTGGCATGTGCTACTCGCGCAGCTATATTGCTCACTCTGAGGGCTCTCAACGACGAAATGAGCTCGGTATCCACCTTCTGCACCTCACTCTTCTTCTTCCTGAGGGGACGGGTGTTTAGCTCGTTACCAGGATCGCAGGTGAACGTGGTCACATTCGCCTGGTCATCGAATCTGACTTTAAAGCGAAGCGCCAACTCACCTTGTTGTACGTTGGGAAGTGCGGGTTGTACGTCCTCGTCATCACTCTCGATGTCTCCGCAAAGCATGAAGGCTGGCGCAGCTGGTTTGGGCTTGGCTTTGCCTTTAGCCTCCTGTTTTGTAGCAGGAGCAGCGTGATGCTGACGTCGGCATTTGTCCCCGAACTTGCACGATCCTTTCTGCCAATCCCAACAGACCTGATCCTTCATTGGCTTAGGGCTACTGCTCCTGCCACCAGGACTCTTTGATCTGTCACCCTTGAGGCTTTCTGGTTTCTTAGCAGAACTTTTGTGCTTCTCTTGGTGACTAAACTTGCATTTGTCTCCTCTAGAACATCCGTTTTTCCCATGGAAGTGGAAGGCGCATCCTATCTTGGACGTATCTGCTGGGGTCGCTGACCTGCCACGATCCCCCTTTGGGCTCTTCGTGGTTGATCTTCCACGATCCTGCTTCTTGTCCTTCTTGTTGTGGTCCTTCGGATTAGCCTGAGGAAGTACTGGAGCGGCGTCATGCTTCGGTGGATCGGCCTTGGTATTCTTGGGTTTCGCTTTAGGGTCCTTCTTCTCCGCCGCTGGTGTGGCTTTCACGAGGTTCCCAAAAGCTTTTTCCCTTTCTTTCTTGTTTGTGGTCTCGATTGATTTCCGTATCCACTTCGCCATGATTTCTCGTAACTTCTGATAGGTCTTATCCGGATCCTTATCCAACATGTTGTCGTACACGGACAAGTCTAACGCCATAACTTTGGAATCCTTAATCTTGTCCCAAAGCAGGTTGCGGAGTGCTTTGTCAGGAAGCATGTCATCCGCATCCATACCTGATATGATCTCATCCCACTGTCCAAGGAATCTGGATAGTTGGTTATCCCCAGGGAACTTTAGATCGAATAAGTGCTTGGATGCATACATCACATCGACGTTGTCGGCACTCCGGAAACTGTCGACGATCAACGCTAACATTTCTCGTCCCTTGACCATCCCAGGAGTTGTGCCTCTCGCACGTCTCTGCATCATCTGCCTCACTTTCAGTTGTACGTCATGAGATCTCTCACCTGCTGCGTGGATGATCGTATGTAGGGTGATACCTAGCTTAGCGTCTATGCTAGCGAATCTTGCTTCGCCTGATGTCTCGAGTAGAAATGGGTCATAAGGTGATCTGAAGGCATCCGAGAGCCACTGGATCCAGTCTTCTTGTCTTTCGTCGCCCGATGCCGTCACGACTGCCGCTACAACCTGGGATTTCCAAACCTCCAGGTCGTGTATCTTGGGCCATGCAGGGATGTTGATCTTCTCGTGTTCCTTCCGAGATATCTTGGAGCCACCTGAGCTGGAGGATGAAGCGGCACCATGTTCGGTTGCGGCTGCATTCTCAGCATTCAAGCGCTCCTCTTCGTACCTCCTCCGGTACTTATTCCTCTCATCTCTGAGCCGTGCTGCATGCGCTTCGAATTCCATCATGTCCTGTTGGTTCTGCATCATACCTTCGTAGTACTCCATTGCCTCTTTCTCCTCGGACCTTAATGACTTTTCGGTACGTCCAAGTTCCGCTCTAAGCTTGGTCATCATCTCGTTCTCCACATTGGGTTCTGATCCCATGTCTGGTGGTTTCAACTTCAGTGCGACCTTCAGTTGTGCTTCACTTGCGCTCGATTCGATCAATTCTTCCTGAAGACATTTCAGCATCCTCTCTTTACGTAGAATGTCTTCTTCCAACATGTTCACCTTGACTTCGGCTTTCTTGAGTTCGGCGTTGGATGGTTGAGACGGTCGATCGGATCCTTGAATCCTCGCCTGTGTCAACTCCTCGTTCGCCTTCTTCAATTGCTCCCTGATGGTCATGATGAAATTGTCCTGATTATTAGATCGGTTGTTGAGCTCCTCATTCTCTTCTGATAACCATTTGATCTTGCTTGTATACATTGCTTCCCTCATCTTCATCTCTTCAGCATATTCGTGTTTGTTCCTGGCACTCTGCCTTTGTATTCCAACTAACTCCTGCCTGCACAGGTCCTTGACGTTCTCAGCATCTGCGATTGTAGTCATGACCTCGGTTACGGCTCGATCTCTTTCCGCCGATATAGCCTGGCTCTCTTCCGTGCCGATGTTCACAACTTGACTAACCATCTCTGCGCTGTTGCGATCAGCGTACTCCCCTAACTGGGTGAGACGATCCCGCATTGCCACACGATCAGTGTCAATCTGGTATTGCAAATCGTGTGCTGCTGAGAGCAAACAGTCTCTGGATTCTGTAAGTTGGGAGATCCTTCGTTGATTTCCATATCCTTCGACATAACATTCTTCGAGGTGTGCCATCACTACTTCGTGGACTTCGGTCTCGTGTTGTATAATCTGGTTCTGTCTCTGCTCACATTCGACCATCCATGCGTTTTGGTGGTTCAACATATGCACTTCGGCAAGTAGTTGTGCACACTTCGCATTGAGGTCTCCATCGGCCCGTGCTAGCTGTAGGTTGTCAGTGCTTGCCCTTGCTCCATCTCCAGCTTCGCTGTCCGACGGTACTGGTACAGTTGACCCATCCTCCAATGCTAACACTCTCACTGCTCCGGTGTCAGTCCTCCTCCTTGTCTCCCTAGGGCTACGGCCTGACCTCGGTGTCCCCCCCGGTGGTGTCGATTGCGCTGACGGGGAACGACTTCGTGCTCTACCTGTCGCAACTTCTCTCACCACTGTCAGAGTCTCCGCTTCGATCGTACCTGGACTAGAGTTGTGGGATGCACTCATCCGATCTGCGGCCGCAGCAGCTGCTCCAAAAGATGCAGTGCTGGCGTCGGATTGGTCCGTCTTCAGTGACTGAGGGTAACTGATCTATCCGATGCGTGTGCGTTTAGATGGTGTTGTGTAAGGCCGTAGCTCGTACCCAGCTCAAAGGAGTCTGGATACGGCTGATAACCTGCGAACGGATGGAAAGTTGTGCCCTGGCCCCGTTCTAGCCCTTAGTTCAACATGAAGCTCGCGCGCTAAAGCTCCTTTTTACCTGGTTGGGCACTTGAGCCAAAAGTATATGGCATGTACCTGTATAGCAACTATACTGGGACCTCATCCCTATTGACATCTTTACAATGAGGTTTGCAAGTGCCAAATGCTCTCAAAACGTGGTTTCACGCTTTCGGTGGTCCTTAGGTACAACCACGAAGGTGTGGCATGTTTGATCCTAGAGTGCAATCTCAATGAATAAACAGCAACCCTTGAATTGCGCAGGTTGAAGCTCAAAGACTCTTGAAGGTTGGAACTGCCGGCATGACAGGTCACAAAATTGATCCGCAAGTCACGCGCGACGGCTCCAATGCCAAAGAGGCAGAATATATTCGGCTCAAGTACATTTAGGCAAAGCATGCAATGGAGCAGGTGGCTGACGAGCTTACTTTGTCAACCCAATCTTGCTAAAGCAACCTTCTGCAAAACTATGGTTTCTGGCCGCCTGAGCACTGCAGGGCTGACATAGCCGCTACCATCCAGATCAAAGGTCCGTCGCACATCAATCCCCGCAAGGCGGTCCTGGAGGCAATCGGCAATCTGAACGCAGCACCAGGGCGAAGGCACTTTGTTCAAAACATGATCAAACTTTTCAAGTTGCCCGCAACGTGGGGCAAAGCTCTGAGTCACTGAGGCTGATCGGAAAAGCGGAATCTGTCGGGGCGGGATCTTGCCTACATATAATATATATATATCATCTAGAGTAGGGAAAGAAAAAATAACTGTGCAGTTGACAAGCGCAAAAGGAGTACAGTGGTTCTTGTCAAGCGATGGCAATGCACCTGCTGCCTGGCAAGGTGGGGGCGGAAATTCTACAGAACATGACTATAATAGAGACCCCGACGTAACCCATAGATCGACAAGAGTCCCGCACTACGCCAACCATGCCACTCACCAGCGGCACACCGCATTTACACACATGTTTGCTTTTCCTCAATGGAATGGCATGGAGCCACGTAAACGCCGAGGCCTCACCAAATCGCATGGCACAGCGATCTGGTGAAAATAATTTCGCCACACCGACTGCACTTGCACTACAAAGGTGCCAGTTCTGAGCCGGGAGCTTCCAGAAGCTACTCCACGCGCTACATTTATATTTACTGGCTATCTCTCCAAAAAGTATTTCGTGCAGACCTCCGCAAATCTTGACATCATGAACGAGACTTCCTCGAATCTTGACATCTTCAAGCTTCAAAGTTGAGCATTTTGTGCGAGACTTCCTCAAGTTTTGACATCTTCAAGCTGTAAATAGGCATTTCATGTCAGGCTTCCTAATTTTTGACATCTTCAAGCTTCAAAATATATAAGCATTTCGTGAGGGACTTCCTCAAACATCGCGTCAAAATGAGGGTTTCGCATGAGACTACCTTAAATTTTGATATCTGCAAGCTGCAAAAACGCTTTTTGCGCGAGACTTCCTCATTTCTGACATCTCTGAGGCCCTTGTACAAGACTTCCTCCAATGTTGACAACTTAAAGCTTCAAAATCGCATTCAGTTCGAGATTTGCTCCACTTTGCCCAGGTTAAAGCTTGAAATCGCACATTTTGTGAGACACTTCCTCAACAGCTCAAAGCTGAGCAACTCTGATACAGTACTGTTGCTGGCAACTGCTGCTACTTGCACCATTGTTGCTGTGCGACGGTTGCTTACGCTACTGTTGCTGTGCAGCTGTTGCTTACGATAATGTTACCGTGAAACTGTTACGCTACTGCCGCTAGTGTCCCTGTGCAACTGCTACTTGCACTACTTTTAATGTGCAACTGTTACTGGCGCTACTGTGGCTGCGCAACTGCTACTTACGGTTCTGCTACTATGCAACAGTTACTTACGTTATTGTTGCTGTATAGCCGTGACATACGCTACTGACACTGTGCAGCTGTTGCTTCCATTACTGTTACTGTGCAACTGTGACTTGCTTGCGTTACTTTTAGTGTGCAAGTGTTACTTACCTTCTAAATGTCCGTGACATCAAGTTTTCCAGTATATAAACTTCCTTTGACACAAGTATCTGCCACATCCAGGGTTCTTTTTATACAAATTCTAGACTCAAGACCGCCACTTCTGTTCAAAATAGCAAATCAACAGCAACAGCACGGGTCCATCACATGGGCCAACATCCTCTCTCTAGGCGACATGCTCCTGAAATGCATGGATGCGATGGATCGAAAAAATCATCCTTTGAATTGCTCTCAGTTCGGGCGTGATGCATTCAATGCTGCAGGGTTTGCTGGGTCCGCGGCTGCTTTTTGGCACAAGGCCTTGGGGATATCGTCACAGTTAGGCCAAAGAAAGCATTTGCTGCCCGTCTGACATACAAACCCACACGCATCAGCGTATGATGTATCATGCAAGCGCGTTGATCCGTTCCATCTGTTTAGTTTACACAACAGTGAAAATGCCACATGAGTGCAATGAGGCCGTCTTGGAGACATTGAAAAGAAACTGTGCGACTGGCAATTGTCCCTCCCTCACTCTCTCTCTCTCTCTCTGCATCTGTCTACGCATACTGTAAACTGGTGCATATATATATATATGTACAAACCGACATACGCTCATGGCTAGTTGCTCTGCAAACCTCTCCAGCATCTTGGTCTTTACACAGAGCCAAGAGCATGACTGGTCGACGTCCAGCGGACCCAAAGGCCGCATGCAGCCTGCATCAAGATAGAATGTGGAAAACCGGAAGCAACTACTGACTTAGGCGTACAGTGTTCAAAGAAAACCTCATCCAGAGAAAGGCCTCACAACATGTGACTGACCAACCCAACAGCAAAGCGACTTCCCCACCCAGTCTCTCACACCAATCTGAACCACTCTCACGCCAACTGGAAACCAACCCTTCGATCAGTGCACCCTTTTTGGCGCAGTGTGAGATTGTCAAGCAAACACGGTTTTGATTCAATACCAAACCCAAAAGAGGGAGAAATAGGAAGCATCTTGAGTTGGTGAAGTTCGTTGCTGTGATTTTGAGAAACTGTCAAAGTAAGAGACATGTTGGCTGGATCCAGGAGAGTTTGCCAAAAAGGGAACATCTGATGTCTGTTCTGTCTTTCTTTGGTGTCACCTCCTTGCCGTTCACAACGCAGACCATATGCTGACCCCACCTCTGGTCGATCCTTGACTGCTGAGAAATCTGTCACCCATGGCTGCAGCACTTTGGCTGCTTGGATGTTTTGAGGGACTTGTTCCTCAAAGTTCCTGAGAAAAGCCCTACCACGGCTGATCTCTCTCTCTCTTTCTCTAAGACAATGTGTATATATATACTAATATAGTCATATAGTATATCGGGAGGTGTTGCCAAAGGAGAATCTTGTTGCTCTTGATGCCGTGTATCAGCTAAGTAGCCTTAGTCGCCCTTTCCAGTCCCGGCGTGTGTATGTGTGTATGTGTTGAGTTGTTGAAGGGTTATCAAGAATTGCATGTGTCTGTGGCTCTGGTGCTGTTTGTCTCTTTCTGGAAAGTTGCCTGCCCACCCAGCATTGTGAAACCTGCGGTCCCGGCAAACAAATTGCTTGTGGCCAGCTTGGCGTCCTTCAACCCAAGGAACACATAAGAATTCACAAACCATTTCGCACTAGAATAGGATGCAAGAAAACTGAAACGTTTCCTGGCCACACCCTCTCGCTCGAGCACATGCGGGAAACCCTTCCTACACTGCAGTTTGTTTGGAGAGTTCGTCGCCTCACGCTGAAAATTGTCCGCCCGGGCTCATTTTTGTTCACAATCACAATCACCCAAGCGTGTGCCCGGCCCAGGCGTCAGAATCGAACAGTCTTTCGGAGCTCCTTCAAACCTTTGGCTGTGCAAATTGGCTGGACATTTTCTATGGTCGCCCACCTCTAGTAGCTACTGGAGCTCTCAGGAGCTACCGGTTGACTGAATGGGCGATACATCATGACTTGTGATGTTGGATATGCTTTGCAAATACGCCTGCAAAGAGAAAAATAGTTTGGGGCGACAGCAGGTGCATTGTCCGTTAGCTATAGTCATATCATACCCTTCTTCTGGATTGAGATCGTGTTTTTTCTTGCGTTTGGGGGTAAGGCATTAATACCATCAAGGTAAGACAGGCTTTATGATGCCCTGTTTCCAAAGAGTTTCCAACACCATGCATAAACTTGACACCACTTCTGGGGTGCCAGCGTTCGTCCGCTTTCATCGCACGATTTCGGAGCCTCATCACTTGGTTTGTCAGTTTGTCACTCTGCACGAGCTTCAAACACTGTCAAACACGTTTGCCTTCACATCTTTCCCAGCAGCAGTAGGTGTGTTACCACTTGAACTCTCACTGAGGTAGTGTCTCTTCCATCTGGGGCAGCTTCATGGAATTCACTCGCACACTATCGACCTGCACTTTGCTACACAAAACTGGGCTGAGAGGCCCAAAAATGCCTGCACATACACAACTCAGAAGCTCAACCGGCCCATTTGAAGAATGGATTTCAACACCCAGTCTCTCGACTGCAAACCATCCAGGTGCAGAACACTTTGCAACAGCGTGTCGATGAAGCCAGCCACCTTTCGCTCTGCACATCTTCAGTGATTGAAACGCCTCTTTCGCTTGCTCTCTGAAGCCCGCACCTCTGTTAGCTGCAGTGATGTCTCTGCATCGGAAAAGTTTGCTTCGACCTCTTCGAGCGGAAACGGAGGTGCAACCTTCTGAGGGAAAGAGCCGTCTCAGCAAAGCTGTGACCAGTGACCAGTATACATTACGGCCAACAGCTCGCAGCAACATATTACCTACAGCTCGCAGCTACTGCACTTGGATTCCACACCCGCTTGGACAGAGACATCAACCTTGCCTCTGCCTAGCAATACGCTGAGCATCTTTGTCGTCGATGCGGCTTCTCTGTCCCCTTCTACATTGCTCTACAGTCCTCAAAAGGTACAAAATCTGTCAGGATACCTACTTGAAAACCAAAAATGCAAAAATGGTGGAAAGGGCGGTCGAAGCGTCTTTGTAGTGCGGTGCCTTCTTTCATCGAAGTCCATGTCATGCTCGCCGCTCTTGGTTGCGAGCTTTGCAGGCTACAAGAAAGAAAGCGAACAAAAGTACCTAGCAGACCTGGCCAAACGTGGACAAACTTCGAATGTAAAGACAGCCAGGTTGCTTAGTTGTGCGCTGAAGCCAGGGCACGTGATATCATGATATCCGACTTTCTGTGATATATGATACTTGAGGCCAACGGGGGGGGCGAAAGCTAGCGCTCCAGAATGGGAAAGTGGAGGGCAGCGAGGTAGAATGGGAAAGTGTTTCACTCTCGTCAACATCACTTGCAATGAGGGATAAAATCACACCAGGTGCACGATTTACAAATACATCTCGAAGCCGAATAGGCTTTGGTAGCAGCGGGTCTGCATGGAGTAGCAGAAGGCAGGACGCCTTGCACAAGTTGGGCGGGGCAAACGATTCCAGGTGAAGAGTCCTTTATATGTGGCTCTTTGCCCGGATCCTCCTGCGAGAGAAGAGAGAGAAGAGAGACGGAAAGACGAGAGACAGAGAGGAGAGAGAGAGAGAGAGGAGAGAGAGAGATGAGAGAGAGATGAGAAAGAGATGAGGGAGAGCTGAGAGAGAGATGAGAGAGAAATGAGAGAGAGATGAGAGAGAGAGAGAGACAGTGAGAGTGAGAGTGA